GTCATAATACACTTCCTCTTGGCGCAGAGCTCCCCCTTTGATGATCTCCAAGGCACATTCTTCCTTTGGAGATGCATCGCTGTTGAGTATTCCAGAAACTGCCTTCATGGCGGTGTCTGTTAAATGACAAGAAAAGAGTGGGGTTATCTAAGACTCGTAGAGTCTACTTGGTGGAAGGCCTGCCAACACCAACAACTTAGCTCTTAGGGGCTGTCTGCCAGTGCTTGCTCTGCAAGGCCCGTGGACACTATCGGGAATACGTAGAGAAGGCTGGATATATTTAGGGCCTGTTGGGCAAGAGAGGCTTAGTGTTAAATCATGTTCCTCTCTTGGGGGAATAACATGGAGAGACAGAATCGATAGAAGTCGTATGATGACCCAGTAGCCAATGTAAAGTGTCAGTGGGAGAAAACGAAGTGCTGTGTGATAATGACTTATTGACTTGCAAAAGGAAGGGATAGACAAGAATGCAGGTCTTTGCTCTCTCGTCAGCACTAACCACTTTCACTTAGAAGTAAACTCTATTGTTACCTCCTCTCTCCTTCCAAATTTTCATATTCTGCTTGCACAGCTTCTGTCTTACTACCTTTTTCTAGTTTCACTGTGTGTCTGTATCTTTCTCTCTCTCGTTCTGTAACTACTACTCAATTTCCTCAATTACTCTTTAAATAAAATTTTATTATGTATGCTATATGTTTTAGATAAACTTTCATTTGGACTTACAGAAAAGTTATAAAAACTGTGCAGAAAATTCCCTTATATCGTTCACCCTGCCTCTCCTAATTGTAACATCATACATAACCATTGTACAGTTGTCAGGGACAGGCATGATATAATTGGAACAATATTACTAACTAAACTACAGACCTTATTTCCCCCTAATATTCTTTTTGTGTTTTATGGCCTTATCCAGGATTACACTTAGTAATTTGTTCCTGTTTTTCCTCCATTCTATGATAATCCTTCAGTCTTTCCTTGTCTATCATGACCTTGACACTTTTGAAGAGTACTGATCAATTGTTTTGTACAATGTCCTTCACTTTGGGTTTGTCCCATTGTTCTCTTATAACTGGAGTGAGGTTATGCATTTTTGGCAGAATACCACAAAAATAATGCTGTGTCCTTCCCAGTGCATCATATCAAAAGGTTCATATGTTAACATCTCATTACTGGTGATGTTATTAAGAAAAATGAACTTGTATATGATAGGTCTCATATAGGAAAGTAATGGCCATTGAGAATCCATGAGGACAGAAGGTATTCAGAATAGGGTGAGGTGATGAGTGTGGTGTTACTCAGCATATTTGGTGGTCAGAATGGAAAGGAGAGTCAAAGAGTGGTCAGAAGCTTCACTAATGACAGAAGTGCTTCATTAAATGAGGACAAGTGCTCGCTGTGTTACCCATGAATCAGAGAGCTTGACACCTTCTTCACCCACAATGGCAAGGCAGACAATCCATCTGCAGGTCATTTATTCCAATCTCTTGTCCTTACCCGTGTTTATGAGGCCGAGGATACAGAGAGTGATTGACACATTGACCTTGGCCATTGAATATTCCTTCCTGATGGAGGAGAAAAACCCATCCAGAGCAAACTTGCTTGCAGCATAGGGAGCAATAAGTGGATTAGATATTTTCCCTAAATGATAAAGAAATAGGTTAACAAGTTGACTCATTTCGGCTCTGACAGAGCTGATCTTTGCTTTATCTGTAGCAGGCTTTGTAACCCCTGTGGAGTCCTTTTACCTTTTGAGTTGTACTTGAGTCTACTCCCTATAGAGATTATCATGCTGTGTTGAATTTCTGAAAGAAAAAATTATTAAAGTATCAAAGAAACACCCCATGAAAAGCCTGGGGTGGGATATGGTGCAGGCTGCAGGAAAACCTTCATTGAAGAGAGGTTAGATTTTAGTGAGAGTGGTGAATAAGTGAGTGTTAAAAAAGAGCCATGTCATCCCATAGCTGTTAACTCTTTCACCTCTGACCCAAGAGAGCTGGAGATCCAAGGGTTTGGCAAGAGCATTCTCCTGACACAGTGACCGATCCCTGACTTTTTACGCAAGAGGAATGAAAAACTCCTATCTTTGCTTTTCTACTCAAAAGTACTTTTCTTACTTTCATCCGCCTGCTTAATTCTCACTCTAGTTTTTGGGAGGACACGTGCACATATAGGTAATAGGATAACTTATTCTTTATATCTTTTCCAAGATGAGGGAGTAGAAGTGGCCTCAGACCTTAGACTCTTTGCTGAGTTAGCATTGATATAACGGCTATTTAAAAATCCTCGTCTGCTAATTCTATCATATGGGTCCTTTTAGGGTTGATCTCCATCAATTGCATTTCCTTCTGAGTATCAGTCCCAATTCCTATTCCTGTATGTGCAGTAATTTGGCATTGTATTTTTATATCATGGATGATACATTGTAGAGTCTCTGGGTTCTGTCATATTCCTCTGAAGAGTATTGATTTTTCTTATTTTCAGGTGGGCAGTCAACTTGGCTGAATCCCTGTATCTCTTGAAGTAGGTACCAGCTAAAATCTATGTTTAATTATTTAATCTTAACTGGGCTTCTTGGTATCTGCACTTGCCACAAGTGGTTCACGGGGAAAAAATTGATTTGGGAAGATTTTATGTATAGAGTTTGATGCTCCTTCACTGCGGCTCTTTCCTTTGCAGATGTCCACCTTTCTTTTCCGGCTGCTCCAGAAACCCCAAACTCTTCCTTCTGGTTTTTCAAAGTAGTAAGATAAGCAGGTTTCTATCCCAGACATGGCACTGATTGGGGCCTACCCTTAAAGCATAAGCCGTAAGATTTTGAGAAACTCACCTAATGTCATTTTCGTCTTCCAAGTATCAATAGTTCCAAGTATCAATAGCAGTTTCTGTCTGCTTTTGCTTTTTCTCTCCAGTGCTTTCAATGGTTGTTTTCTATATTTTGTCAAAAGTTTGTTATTCAGGGAATAATTGTTCTGTAAGATACCACTCTGCCATTATTGGATTTGGAACCTTTATAAGCTTTTAAACGTAATGAAGTTGTTTGCCAAATCAATGAAGAAAAGATGGCTTATTCAATAAAGATTCTGGGAAAAATTAGTTAGCTAATGGGAAAAAATTGCTAGTGCCTTGTTTTATATCATATATATATAAAAAAAATCTAGATAAAAAATTATGACAGAAGGTATTGTCTACCCAATATCCATTTCCATTTCTCTAATAGTAGCATCTGATTTTGTTCAGGACAGCAGTGTGTTTAGATAAAAACATTTACCTCCTCAAGACTTCCTTGCTCTTTTGGGTGGCCGCGTGTTCTAGTTCTGCCAATGAAGAATCTAACAGAAGGGGTCTTCAGGAAAGATATGGATTTCCTGATAAAATAGATGGATTTGGGTAACATGCAGCTTTTACATTTTGTCCCTTCCTTTTCTTCCTGAGTGGACTCCAGATGTGATGCTTAGAATTCCATCAGTCATTTGTGAACTTGAGGAAAAGCTATACATTAAAGATTATAGAACAGAAATATGGAATAAGCTTGGATTCTCGAAGATCTAATAAGTCCACTAAACCAGCCCTGAACTTCTTATAACCTGAGTAAAAGGAACCTATATTTAGTGTTAAGTGATTTTAAGAGAAATTTTTGTTAGTTACATGTGCAACAGAATGCATCTTCTGACTTGCAAAAAATAATTCAATCAGAGAAAGAGGATTGTATAGGTAAATATTTATTGGGTTCTTGGTTATGAAAGATCATTCTAACAGAAAAGTAAAAAAAAATATATGTAAAGACAAAGAGTATTGCATTTTATAAAATTTGTATATGTCAAAACAATAACTAGAATCACATCTCTATAAAATAGGTAAAGGGTAAATAAAGATAAACTAGAAAACTGTTTACAGTATATTAGGAAGACAAAAGCTTTATATCCTCAATCCTTAATTTATAAAGAACTTTTAAAAAAATACAAACAAATCTCTTTAGGAAACCACCCCAACTTCATCCTCAGTCATGAGTTTTGGCTCAGGATGACTCCACAGTCAAGTTCTAGGAATGGGTGTTCGGTATAGGATGTCCAACCAGAATATCTGATACTGTTGGGCTACTGACTGGTCTAGGGCTGGACCAAAGACCCAAGCACGGCTGCAGGACACATTGTTGGTTGCCTAACCAGAATTTATTTCCCTTTTCTACCTCTGCGACAGAACCTCAATTGAATTCATGTTTGCACCATGTTGTAGAGACTGCTAGTGTTTTCTGAATATATCTTCTGCCCTTCTTCCTTAGTAATACAACCCCTGATGTGTGTCTGAGTGCATAGTTATCCGGCATAAAGTTCCCATTTCTCAGCTTCTTTGAGCCAGATGTTGCCAAGTGACCAAGTGCTGCCCCATGCGTTGTAAACAGAAAAGCGTCATGTGGTTCCTGGGATATGTCCTTAAAGGAAGAAGTCAGTCTTTCCCTTCCCACTCCTCCTGCTTCTTGGTGCCTGAAGGTGGATATGATGGCTGTGGCTCCAGAACTATCTTGGATCATGAAGCAGAAGCCACATGTTAAGAATGGCAGAGAACCGAGAGAGAAGGAGGGAACCTGGGTGACCACGAAGCTGCCATTCTAGCCCTAAAACTGCCTACCTCCAGATCTGATTTATCTTATAACTTATTTAATCTACTGTTATTTTACATTTTCTGCATCAGAGAGCTGAAACTAATCCATATTGATAGCCCTCTTCATTTTATGCAGCACACGTGCCTAAAGGTAAGCTGATACCCTCTCTAACTCTAGAGATGGGCTCGCATAGTTTTTTTAATCCCATTCCCCTTGCCTATAACTGGTACAGGAATGGGCATGTGGCCCATTTTGGATCAAGGAGACTCAAGGAGAATTTTGTTGGAGTGTCTGGGAAAGTTCTTTGTTCTTCTGGGAGAGTTTCTCAAAGTAGCAATCCTGTTTCTCTTCTGCTGGGCCGTTTTGTGCACGGATGTGGGAGTTAGAATTGCTCTCGCTATTTCACTGGCAGCCTGAGGATGAAACCTCACATGGAAGAGAGCAGAGCCAAGAGAATCACGGGAACATTGGGTTTGAGCCAAGGCAACTGTGAAGCCCACCCTACATCTGGACTTCCAGTTATGTCAATAATTTTCCTTTTGTTTAAGCCCAAAATAGAGCCAAATTATTTATAAGAATAGCACAGTGGTTAAAGGTTTGAGCTCTAGAATCAGATGACCTGGGTGTGAATCCCAAGTATTTCTTAGCTGTAATATGTGGATAATAACACTACTACACTGAAATAATGCATGTAATATACTTAGCACAATCGCTGGCACATACAAAGTATTTAGTAAATGCTGTTATTAGTAGTATTAGTATTTCAAATTGGTGAGAAAAGTATGAGCTATTCAAAAAATCATGTTGGGACAAATAGCTAACTGTTTGGAGAAAAGAAATACTGTTCTAATAAATGAATTCTAATAATATTAGTATATATAGAAAGTAAAATAATAAAATATTGATGGATATATAATCTCTGGGTAAGAGATATTTTTTAAAGCATGAAATGAAAGACATACACTATGAAAGAAGTTATAAGTAAGTTTGAATATATAAGATTTACAAAACTTTCATGTACTAAAAATGCTTGCCATTGCCTTCCTACACACATCCCTTCAAAAATATTTTGCCTTCCCAGCCATAGAAGGTAGGCCAATGATAGCTAACATTCACAGTGGCTTGAACACACATCATGTTCTGTCTCTCAAGAAATTAAAACAAGCAATGTAAGGATTCTAATTAGCTACTGTTGGATTTGAACTAAAAGGTCATATAAAATTAGGACTGGGGTAGCCATTTTCAGCATAGAAAAGGATAACTAAAAAGAAATAGCAGCCACGTAGTGCAGACAAACAAAATGATCATAAAAATTGGAGCTAAATTGGAGCTAACATTTATTTAGCTCTATGTACTAAAGACTAAACAGCTGCCTAAAATTGCATGGTTAATGAATAGGAGAACCAGGATTCAAATTTGACTTCAGTGGCCCACACTTTAAAGCATTAGATGTCATTTCCTCTACAGAGCCGCTGTTCTTTATATGAGTGTTCTTTAGGAGCCATTGGTCAAATGCAGCTGTTCCTGAGTTGGTGAAAAATTCTCTCTGCTTGACAATGTACCTCAAATAGGCAAAATTTATGAATAGCAGTATTATTTTCACTTCTAATTTGACGGAGGAGGGTACCCATAAATAGTGTTAGTCACTCCTAGTCCCTTTGTATTAGTTTCCAAGGACTGCCATAACAAATTACCATAAACTTAGTGACTCGAGACAACAGAAATTTATTTTCTCACAGTTCTGGAGGCTAGAAGTCCAAAGCCAAGGTATCAGCAGGGCCACCTTCCCTCCAAAGGCTCCAGTGGAGAATCCTTCCTTGTCTTCTAAAGGCGTCCTCAAACTTCTAATGTCTTCTGCAAAGCTTTGTTTTTTCTTGGTTTATAGATGCATCACTCCAATCTCTGCCTTCATCTTCACATTGCCTTCTCTTCCAATTTCGTGTGTGTCTTAGTTTTATTAGGACACTCGTCACTGGATTTAGGCCCATTCAGATAATCTGGAATGATCGTCTTGAGATCCTTAATTACATCTGCAAAG